CCGGGCGCGTGGCTGCGGCTCGGCCGGGCGGAGCTGCTCACCTGAGGCGGGGCGCTGGGCGCGGCGCGGGCGGCGCTGTCAGGGCCGCGGCTCCCGGCTCCCGGCCGCGCTCGGCGGTACGAGCCAAGCAGTGATTTGCGGCGCCGCTTCACCTTCGGCCATGGCCGGGAGAGCCTAGCGGGGCCCGGACACCGCCCCCCGGCTCCCGCCCCGCCTCCCAGCCTCGGCGCTGCATCCCGCCGGCCTCGCCGCCCGGCCCGCGCCGGGCAACCGCCCTCGCCCGCAGCCCTCCCTCGCCCCGGCTCGCGTCCCCCGGCGGCGCCGCCGCGGGAAGCGGCTCCCCCTCCTCTTCCTCCGCGTCCTCTCCCCCCGCTCCGCCGCTGGGGCCGCTTGTTGCACCGCTCGCGGCCTGTGGGAGCCGCTCGCCCGGCCCCGGCCTCGCGCCCGCGGCCGCAGCCCCTGCCGCTCGCTCCCGGGGCCCGCAGCCCGGCCCGCGAGACCCCGGCCCGACCCCGCCGCCCGCACAAAATGTCGGCGCGGACGCCATTGCCGACGGTGAATGAGCGGGACACGGAGAACGTGAGTAGCCGGAGCCTCCCCGGGAGCGGCGGGGCCAGACGCTCCCCGGACCCCCGCTTCACCTTCCGCATGGGCCGCCCCGGGGCCCCAGAGCGGCCACCCGCTGCAGGGTGTCCACCTGGCGCCCGGCGTGACCCTCGCCCCCGGCTGAGCCCCCATCCTCCCTTCCAGGCGCATTTCACTGCTTTCCCCTGAAGGATGAGGGTGGGGGCACCGTAAGTGGCGCCCTCCCCGCGGAGGTGGTCCTCCGGGAGACGGTGGGGTGATGGAGGGCGACAGGCACAAGGAGATGGCAGAGTGGGCATCCCGGATGGCTTTATTTCCACGCGGCATTCTGTATCCCCACCCGAATGTTTGCTTTATGATCACAGACAAGCCAGCCGACTGCCTCTTTTCCCTTGCTTTTCTGGCTCTTTCGGTCCTTTGCCCTCCCACCCGCCTGCATTGCCCCATGACTTTGCTTTTTGTAACTGTGTCCCCATTTGGGTCTTGGGCACCAAAGGGGGAAGGTCGGGAATGGAAGGGACGAGAATGGGAGTAGAGATGGATGTGTGTGTTGGTGTGTCCCGAGTTTCTACTGCTGTGTGATACTCTTCTATAGAAATGAGCAGAAGAATTTCACCATCAGCTTCTGTGGCCCCAGGGTTACAGCAAAATGTTTAAAAGCTGTATGAAGCCAACGGCTTTTGCTTCTCTTTCTCAAGTCGGTGGTAATAATTCAGGGCAGGTTTTACTTTAAATACCTCTCCTCCTCCTTGGAGTGTCACAAGGTGCATTTCTTTGAAGGAAGGATTTTCTGTGTCTTTGATCAAATTGCCCTCAGGAGTTTTTATCTAGATGCAGATGTCCCTGGTGTTTAAACTCTTGAAAACCGAAAGAACCAGATCAGTTGTATTTCCACATTCTGAAAAGTGCAGTTGTGTGTGTGTGCGCGAGTTCCTTTGTGGGAGAGGGTTTAAAAATAATTTTTTTTTTTTAAGCCCTCATGACCTGTAAAGAGGGCCTTTGCTGATTTTTCTGACTGGGTTTGCGTACCCCTTAGAGGGGTGTTAAGTTTTGGTCGGCTCTCCAGTTTCTGATTGCCTAGTTAACTCCTTGACCCTCCAGCCCTTGGTGTATCACTGCCTTCATAGGGTTGGTAAAATAAAATAATGAAGGGTTTTGGCGTTCTTAAACAAAAGATATGAGACAGAAGACATACAAACTCACCCCTGAAGTGTTAGAGGGAGGTATAAACAGATTTTTTAATCTTGGAGAGTAGGGGAGCACAGAAACTTGATATACAAAGGGAGAAGAAATTTTGGTAAGAGACTGTTGTAGAAGACCCAGGAAGAGATTTCAGAGTATGCTTTCGTCTTGTCTAGTGTCTTGCATTTCAAATGGTAAAGATATAGAGTAAGGTTACTGTTACCGTAACTTATAACTTAGTTTACATTGTAACTTTTTAAAAGCCTCCTAATTGTTTTTAAAAATATAATTGATACATAATTTTGATTAAGAGATCGAAGAAGGTGACTGAAAAAGGTGCAAAATTGGGTTAAAGTTGATTTTAAAGCCAAGGTAGTACAGAATTTTTCTAACAGAAAATCTTTTTAAAAAAGTGTCATTCAGTATGAATGAAAAGTAAGACAGATGATGACCTTTGTTTTTATTAGCAAAACACTCTGTGTGTTTTTAACCTAGGAAAGGTGGAAAAATACATTGTTTTTATTTTCTTTCGGATTTTGAATAGTATAGCTCTTTCCACAGTTGTATGAATAAGGTGCTTTATACAGACATGAGATATTATTATAGAAATCTGAATCAGGGAGTAGTACAAAATGCAGCATCACTTGTAAGACCAAAAAAAAAAGGGGGGGGGTTCAGTTAAGCAATAACTGTGCTAAATTTTGCTGTACCTTCTGAAAATGATTATGCTAAGTAAACTGATTTGCTCTGTTTCTGAGCATGTTATTTCAAAGTCACTTTTATGATCTTGTCCCTTGGTGTTGGTTGCATTGTGCATAGCTATAGCTCCGTTTAGCTTCCTTTACCCACATCCTGATTTTCTCCTAATTGCCATGCGAAGTACCTGTTATACTGTGGCTGTTAATTTATCAATACATATGCACTCAGTTTTGGTTTTTGAGCTGGAAGGGATAGAGAAGCAGTATTTAAGACAAGGCCTCTCCCCTCAAAGAACTTAAGAAGAAAGGTAAATATAGTCCCAAAGAAATAGTGTACAGTAGAAAGCTGTGTGTAAATAGGGCTAAATTGGTTTATAGGTGCTATAGGTGTTTATCAAAGGGACCACCAGTGATGGCTATTAAATCACCATTCGTGTCTCTCTCTGTTCTCTGGTTGGTAGTAAATGTCATACCCATTCTTGCTTACCTCTCATCAGTGAAATAAAGGAACATATCTGCTTGTTAGCTAATATATTAAGGCCAGTGTGGTAATCAAAATGAACATTTGTTTGAAGTTGTTTTCAGTTAAATTGACACATTTTAAAAAATGGTTGTGAAAATCTACATTCGTGTGACTATTAAATGCTTGTAAGCCTTTTGGAATATTAAGGACATAACTAAAAACATTTTATTACTGCCCAAAATATTTTAATTTAAACAAATAAGGTAATTAAAGAATCTTTGAATTGTATTGTCATTTGCAGTTATTATAAGCATCTTAGTCATATGTGAATGGATTTGGTATCCTTGGGAATATGTGATATCTACCCTTACCCATGTCTCTAATATATATTGAGGATATGTAAGTAAATGTTAATATTATATATATATTAAACAGTTCAGAGGAAGAATGTTGCAGCACTGTAACATTAGTAGTAAATATTCTCCTCTTTACTACCACTGTATCTAGTAGAGCGAGAAAGAATTGCTTTTCTCTGAGAACATTCTGTGTGTATTTTTTCAGGAGTATTTTCTTAGATGAAGGATTTGTGTGTGCATTATTAATAGGCCTCAAATGGCTAAATACAACAGAACAACCGATGATTAAAGGCAATGAATACTTCGCAGTGAAGTAGAAAACACATGTTGTAGATCATAGAATTAATTTATGCAAAATGTGTTTGATGTTAGGTTGTAAAGTGTAAGTCCAGAAAGAGAATGGGTGTTTGAAATATTCCTTTTTTTTTTTGCTTCTGTTAGATTATACTTGGATAATTCCAGCGTGGATAGAGAGAATATATTACCATTACTCTTATGTACTTTTAAATGGAGCAAGAATTGTTTTCATGTTTTAGAGAAACTCTAATTTTGCTAATTTTTATGGATCCAAAGTGTCCCTACTAGCTTTCTGTGGTGAAATTTTGATCAGTATGAAGGAAATTGATTTGATTCCTTCTCGGGATGTTTTAAAATTGACTCTGGTTAAATTTGTTTTGAAACTTTTAATAACAAAACTCTTGATGATGATTCTTTTCATAGATCTGAATTTCACTGTGATGACTGGAACAACTATCAAGGTGGACGTTAGTAGTTTGAAAAGGCAAGAGTGAAGCATGCTTTTGCCACTACTGCTGGGTTTTCTCAGTACCCTGTGCATACCTCATGTCACAGGATCTATCACATTGCCTTCTAATTGCTGATTTACTTTGTCTCCTTTGTTCTGTATCGCCAGTGCCAGTACAATGACTAGTAGTAATATATGAGATCAGTCCTATAATATTCCCCTTTTGAATTTTTTCATTTGTCATCAAAATATACTAGTGACACCAGGAACGGTAGATATTACATACTACAAAGCCTTCAGAGAGTGAAGTGACCTGCCCAAGGTCATAACGAATATCTGATGTCTTCCACTGTTGCTCTACTCACGTTATTGCTTCTTGAGGTTTTTGGTTTGTTTTGCTTTTGTCTTAGAGATTTCAAAAGAGCATGTGCAATGATATGAGATACTTTATTGGTTGAAGAACAGGGTGTGCCATGCTCATCTCATTCCTGAACCTTTGCTATTTTCTCTGTCTTGAGTGCCCTGTTCTTTTCCCCTTATCCCAAACTTACAAGTCCCTTATGGCATGGCTTATGTTTTTAAGAAGACCTCTGAAATGATTGCAGCCAGCATTGCTGTCTGATGTAGCTGAATATCTGTGTGTGTATAGTCCATACCACTGGTCTCCAAAGTGGGTATGCAGGACGGTCCATCGTGAGAAAAAAATGTCTTTGCCTTCTATCATTTTCCTTCTGAATTCAGTGCTATTACTAACTCTCCTTCTTCTCCTTCTCCTTCTTATTCTTTTAAAGCTCAGGTTGTTTAGAATCAGCCACATTTTAAAAATTATTATTATTATTTTTTTACCATTCCCTTTTCCATCTCAGACTTTCCTTTGGAGGTCATTTTCTCTTTTCCTGATAGCATCTTCACAGTTCTTTTGGTAAAGGATTGTTAGTCATAAACTTTCTTTTTTAAATATGAAAATATTTTTTGTCCATTTTCTTGAAAGAGAGCCTTCCTTGCTCAGTCTCCAATTCTAAGTTGATCTTCCATTGTCTACTTATTTCCATTGTTTCTGTTCAGAAGTCATCTGCCAGTAGGTATAGGTGTCTTTTCTGTCTGTCTCTTTTTAAGATTCTTTTTCTTAGGTGTTATACTTTCACTACAGTGTATTTAAGTATGGATTTCTTTTCTTCTTGTTTGCTTCTCATGTCTTTGAATTCATATTCTTTTTATTAGTTCTGGATACTTACCATATATTATCTTTTTGAACATTGCCTTGCTTCTGTTCTCTTTAGAATTTTATTTTGGTACTCTGATTAGATTATGTTGTACCTTAACTCTTCCATATGCCTTAACTTCTTTTCTTTTCTTTTTTTTTAAATTGAAGTATAGTTGATTTACAATGTTGTGTTAGTTTCAGGTGTACACCAGAGTGATTCAGTTATACAGATTCTTTTTTTCATTCTTTTTTCAGATTCTTTTACATTATAGGTTATTGCAGGATATTGAATATAGTTCCCTGTGCTGTACAGTAGGTCCTTGTTGTTTATCTATTTTTTGTATAG